GTCCTCTCCATCCCTGAATCCCCATAATTTTCATATTCATTTGATACTTTCTGCCTTGTAGAGTAAATTACTTTTATAAATTAATATTTATTAGGTATTAAGACCAACTATGTTATAAGCAATGCACTAGGTACTCTTGTGTTCATAATAACCCAGAAAGTTTACAGGGTGTCCCAAAAACTATATACACAGTTACACAGTTAATACTGATAGCTCAATTGATGTTTCTTTCTTTTCATATTTAACCCATTGGAATTAATAATTAGTCAATGTATGTATATATTTTGGGGACACACTATATTGATATCTCCTCTTTACAGATAAGGAAAGTAAGATTTAGGATTTAGAGTGGTTAAGAAAAAAAAAGGCAAACTTGCCAGGGTCACCCAGCTCATGTATGACAGTCAGGATATAAATTAACAAACCACAGTCTTTCCACCATGGCACCCAGTGTCATTTTGTTTGTCCATTTTCCTTATCATTGATTAGGGTGCATCATCTTCTTAATCCAACCAGGACTTACTAAGGCATGTGGGCCTGGTGGGAAGTTACTATAATAGTCTAAAAAAAAGTTAATGGAGAGAAGGCAGAATCCACAAACTCATGGACAGAGAGATGATGGGAGAGAAGGATGACCCTGATACTTCTGGCTTCTGGAATTATTTTACTTACTCTAACCAACATTATGAACCAGGAGCAGAGATGAGGAAAAGAATAGTCAATGTGAGTATCCTATGCAGAGATGTTTATTACATCTATCTGGAGCTTCCCAGAGACTGGATATCCCGGTTAAGAGCATGGTCTTTGGTGTCAATTATCCCTGGTCTTGAACCTAAGCTCTACCATTTGTCAGCTGCATGCCCTTAGGGATGTTACTTCATCTCAAATTCTCACATGCAAAATAAGAATAATAATATCCACCTCAAAGAGTTTTAGGAAGATAATATTAAACAATACATATAAAATTCTAATATAATGCATGGCATATCATAAGTACTCAATAAATGGCATGTTTTGCTAACTAGAGGCTCAGTGCAGGGATTCATGCATCAGTGGGGTCCCTCAGCCTGGCCTTGGGGGATCTGTGGACCTCTGTGCCACTGCAGCCCAGGCTTACTCACCAGCTCCTCAATCCTGCACAGCATGAAGTAGTGTGCGAAGTGGCAGGTGACTGGGGAGGAGCCTGAGCCCAGGCTGGGTGCTGCACTGCTCCCACTCATCCGAGCCCCCACTGCACCTGCCAATGCTGTTACTTAGGTGCACAGTGGGGAGTGTCTGTGGGAAAGGCTCACGCCTCCGCAGCCTGGGAGTCTGGTGCCCATCTCTTAGCTGAGCAGTGCTCCCATTGTGGGAGCACATTGACCACCTGGGCTCCTGTGTTGAGCATCTGCCCCATGATGGCCAGTGCACATTATAGCTACTGGCTGGTCATCCAGTCATCTGGTCACCCTGTTGTTTAGACTTTTATATATATAGATAATACAGATGATTGCAATAGTGTGACAGCAGAGTAGAAGGCATCTGAGCTGAAGATGATTTTAGATATCATTGGTGTATGCACAATGGCTGTTAGCCTAAGAGTCAGTGGAATACAGTTCCATTTTATCCTAGCTCATCCTCGATGTCTCCTTCTTGCTTACAGACAAAGTCTACTTTATCATAGCTAACAGTTTCTGATTTCTGTGCTATTGTTCAGAAATTTATTTTTCTGAAAATTTTCCCCAATGGGCTGCTTTGTATATTACATACACTACATATATCTATATACTTCATCTGCTAAAAATGAAACTATGCATTTTTCTCTCTATACCTTTAACTTTCTAATCTCTATTTTCTTTATGTATTACCTAAGCCTAGAATACTCCTCCAAATGCTATTCCATCCTTCAGGGATGTCACCTCTTCCATGAAGTTCTTTAAAGTCCTCATAAGCACTTAATATTCTTTCTGAAAGTTTATAGAAAATTTTCACATCTCTTTTATAGAACTTATTTTATACCTAAAATATATTTAGGTCAGAGGCTATCCAGCTATTCTCCACAGCACCTTTGGGATTCCACATAGGTGGGAGTGGGAAATGGAGAGGCATTTTGGGGGAAAGAAAACAACCCGAACCCAAGCATTTACTCAAGCACAATAGAGCTCAGTTCACTGAGCCCATGTCCTCGCCTCGCTTGTCTCCACTCCCCTGTTGGACTGACTGTAGCTGACAAGCCAAGAGAGAACTCCCAGGCTCCCCTCATCAGAAACTTGGTGGATCTAACAAGGAAAGGAAGAGCAGGATAAATAAAAACTCCAACGCTCTAACCAGTAGTGGATTCTGAAATCTTTTATTTGTTTCCACGTAAATATCAATAATATTATTTGGATATATTATTAATATCAATATTAATACTCTCTGAGAATCAAAGCACTAAATACAAAATCAAAACTTAAAATAGAGGACCTGCCCAGTATGCTTAAGAACAAAATATAACTTAGATCAAGGTTGGATCCCTTATGTCATTCCCTAAGTAGAAAGGCACTAGGTAACAGTTGATGAGGAAAGACTATTAGCATGTCCAAAATAAAATCCATATAGTAAAGAAGTTACCTAACTCATACCAACCAGTATATGGACATTTAGCATGTACTTTCACAGTTTAGCACTATGGGCATAAGATTCTAAGGGGGTCATTTAACAATGATGGAAACAGGATTGAAAAATGAGAAAGTATTTGTCCAAAGTCATTTAGCTAGTTAGTGACTCAGATAAATTAGAATTCCAGTTTCCTGACTTCCCATTCAGTTCTGTTTCCACAGAATTCTGTTATGTCCAGAGAAAACTGAATTATCCTTTTGAAGGAGTTACTTAAAGGAGATATGCATGTTTTAATGGGTGAAAGGTGGGGGAGTGAGGCTGCTGCATGGCAGAAATATCCCCATGTGGCTGATGGAGGGACGCCAGCGTGGGCATTTGCCAAGACAGGCCATGACACCAAAGACAAACAACCCACAGAACAGTTATGCTTAGGGCTGGAATGTGCACACCCAGGTGAGATATAGTCAGAAATTCCAAACTTAAAAAAGAAAACATACATTTTCTTAAATATTATCTGTAGTCATAAACATTTACTTATTAGATATCACTCATTGAGTAACATCAACTTGCAGACTGTAGTCAGCATACACATACACACACACACACACACACACACACACACACACACACACACATCCTCTGAGTGGTTGGGACAGATTTATAGAATATCTTGCTCAGAACAATTGGCATAAAGCATTTAGCCCCATGCCTAGTCCATAGTAGATCCTCCATAAATGTTCCCTATAGTTATGATTGGCCACCACTAGAGCTTGGTTACTCTTAACTTATATACAATTTCTCTTATTTAGCTTTTTATTATCACTTATTTATGTCTCCATAACAGATTAAAATAGAAGGGTGGGAATATAATTGGAGATAGACACTTAAGAGGAGATGGAAAACTATGTTTAAAAGACAGAAAAAAATTCAAATGCGATGAAAACCATCTAGTGCAGGACCATCTTTCTGGAGCCCAGCATGATTATTGTGATGACACAGAATCATCCAGAAAAGGTCTACATTTTACATGCTCTACTTAAAATGGTAGGGAAACATTGGAAACTATTAAGACAAATTTTAGCCAGAATTTAAGAGCCTACAAATTATATCTAAAATTTTGACTTATGAAAAATTGGATGTGTTCACAATGTTATGAGCCTGATACATCAGAGGAGCATTTAAACTAAACATAAGGGATCTCATTGAAAAGCCTTGGTGTGGCCAAAACCAGTTTGGCTCAGTGGATAGAGCGTCGGCCTGCGGATTGAAAGGTCCCAGGTTCGATTCTGGTCAAGGGCATGTACCTTGGTTGCGGGCACATCCCCAGTAGGGGTGTGCAAGAGGCAGTTGATCGATGACTCTCTCTCATCGATGTTTCTAACTCTATCCCTCTCTCTTCCTCTCTGTAATAAATCAATAAAATATATTTTTTTTAAAAGAAAGAAAGAAAAGCCTTGGTGTTAGCTGATTCTAGTCTCAATAATTGATATAGGATCATATGTGATATTAGGATCTTTCTAGATAGAGATCATTGTTTTTCATAAGATACAGTAGGCTCTTGGTGACTTTGACATAAAGTTGTATCTGATAATAGAATTACTTCATTTCTGAAACCAGCAATGTGGTATGCACGTACAAGGCATGGGGCTGAGTGTTACCAGCATAAGCTGAACGGTGCATACATGTTCCATTGACTGTCAGCAACAAAAATGTTTCCCTCCCCAGACTGTTTAAATTCTTACTGGATTTTTGAGAGGAGAATTGCTATTAAAAACATTTGGAAGGTGGAGAAAGCAATGTGGTAGAGGAAAAAAGCCTGGACAGAGTAATCTTTATCTTAGCCAAATCCTGAAGCAGTTTACAAGCTGATTTTCCTTCTTAACTTCACCCAGTAAGAGGTATTTAGGCAACATGCAGACTGCAACACATTCCATCCTAGAGAGACAGCTGCGGCGGTCAATGGGTCCACGCCACTTCCGACGGATTCGTCGGCCCTCTCCTTGGTCTTCATTTCAACAACACCAGATGCCAGATTTCCAGAAAATGCTCGTCCAGTGTCTTTTTCAATAAAGCAAGTTTATTATGACCATTTTCTGACCAATAGAAACAATGTATCATGAGGAAGAGGCACCTAGTTTCTTTTTGGGCAGAAGTACCTGACAGGCTTGAGGCAATTGTGAAGGATGAGGGATAGGTGCTTTAGAATATACGAGAATAAATAAAATTAAATGATATGTAAAATAAGTCTTAAATATCCCTGAGTGGGAGTGGGGGAATCTTCTTCTGGTCACATCCTGTGTAGCCAGAGGTGGGGGTTGATCTGGGACGACTCCTCCACTCCCAAGGAAGAACCAGTGTCCTGTCCACCCCGAGTATGGCATTCGAGCTTGGTGCCTGGCTTAGGTGTGGCCATCAGGTCCTCATTCATTGGCACAGTATCCACTAGGATTTTGACTAATGAGAATTAACTCCCCACCATTCACTTGGATGTCTGCACAGGAGGAATTGTGAGTAATCACATTCAAGTAGACTTTGTCCTTATAAAACAGATAGGCCACAGTGATGGAGTTGACAGACGTGACCTTGTCATGGGAGAAGAGGGGTTCCGAGTTATTCCTGTAATGAAGGCTGAGGCTGAGCTTCTGGGAGAAGTAGCCCTTCAGGGAGACGAGATAAAACCCATCGCATCTGATGGAGATTGAGTTGTCTTGTACCTTCATGGTTTTCTCTTCGTTTGAGGGTTTGAGGATGAAACCTTTTTCATTGTCACACTCTAAGGAGGGTAGGAGAAGAAGAAATAAAGAAGATTCCTTAGTACAACTTTGGGCAACAACATTCTTCTAGAAACATATGAAAAGGCAGTGATAGGAAGAGATTTTGAGAAGAATGAGAGGAAGTGGGCATTGTGCTTTACCCATGGGATGGAAGAGGAGGTAGAGCTAGCACTGGTACCCAAGACAGTTCCTGATGGGGCTGGAATTTAAGAGCTGAGAGATTAAAGCTATTGGCAGTTGTTACAACAGACCTGCGCAGGATATGGAGCTTGAGCTTGGAGGTTTCCCCGATTTTCAGAATAGGGAAGGACTGGCAACCTCAAGGCTTCCTTGTTCAATAGTTCAATAGACACAAAGGGTGCCTGGAGGGCCATTGCTTTGAGCTCTCCCCTATTCTCTCTACACCTGACTGTAAAATGCACATTTTCCTTGCCCTGCCAGCAGCATTTACTACTGGCTTTTACCAGCAACTGCTGCAGCTTAATGATGCTGCTGTGCACAGAATGTCAGTGGGCTCAAGCTCTGCCCAGAAAGAGGCAGGTGAAAGAGCTCCAGAACACAGACCTGCCTCTCCCCCCTACCTTATCACTAGCTTTTCTGGGGAGGTGCCTTGGGAAGAGCTGCTCCACAGAAGAAGGAAGAGGAGGGGGAGGAGGAGGAGGAGGAAGAGGAGAAAGAGAAAAACAGGAACATAGCGTGATGGCTTTGGTACCTTCATGGGGAGCCATTCCAAGTTTAAGCCAAAAAGCCTAAATTTCTTTTCAATCAGCCCCAATATGGCCAAGCAACTACATCTCAGACTCCCCATTCTGGCCCATGTCCCTTGGTAACAGGGAAGAGTAGGCCCCCACTGCTGGGCAAAATTCAGTAATTCTTGCTTTGAACCAGGCCCATGGGGCATGCTTGAACTGGAAATGAAAACCTCTTATGGAGAGCAAGATATACTTCCCTCAGGCTCAGGAGAACTTGATAGATAGTGAATAGTCTTAAACTGCTGGTGGGTGTTTTAGTGTTAGTCATGGATCCAAGTCATTCTATCCTTCTGAAGTATCTATCACCTGGCCTTCACATCTGGGACCTCCCCCAACTCTCATTAAGGTAAAATCTTGACATATACCAGAATTACTGGCAAAACTTAGGAAGTAAAGCATTAGTTACCTTACCTTGAAAATAAGAATAATTCCACCCTACCTGCTTTTTTTCTGAGTGGTTAGAGCGTCAGCCTGCAGACTAAAGGATTACAGGTTTGATTCAGGTCAAGGGCAAATAATTCGGTTGGAGGCTCAATCCTTGGCCCCAGTTGGGGGCAGTGAAGAAGGCAACCGATTGGTGTGTCTCTCTCACATGGATGTTTCTCTCTGTCTCTCCCCCTCCCTTCTATTCTCTCTAAAAATCAATTGGGGGGGGGGGGGGAGAGGATATCTTGGGTTTAGGAGTAACAACAAAAAAAGAATAATTCCTACTCAGATTCCTGAAAGGATTAGTAAGGCATCTAAAGGTATGTAAATTAAACACAGATTTGATAACTAATGACTCCCCTTTTCTTCTTTATATGCCTTCTTTGTCTCAAATATAAACAAGCAGGGTTCCGCCATTCTAGGATTTGATGCTTCCCTAAGAAAGGGTGAGATCTTGTGTTCTGGAGGAAATGAAGAGATTCAGAGGGAAGGTGCTTTTTAAAAAATCAAACTTTTGACAACACTTACCAGTAAATCGTGCTTTGATACTTTGAATTGGAGGATACTGAAGTGGCACCTGAAGGAGGAAAAGAGATAGTTTTAGGAAAATAAAATAGTGAAAAAAATGGAATTGACTGTTAACTACTCCACTTCTGTTTCATATTCTATAGGAGTAGCCTAGAGAGGGAGTGACTTGCCAAAGATGGGTTTTTCCATGGAGATCAGACCCAGACTGCCAACCTGCCCATTGGCCTTTCTGTAACACCTCTTAAGATAAGTTAGGAGTGTTCTGCCCTTTCATGCAGGCACTAAGATCTGTGCTCAGCCCTGCCAGACTCTCCTTTGGTGTGTTGTTTTGGCTCACTGAGTCCCAATTTCACATTTTGGATAACAGAGCATTTAATAGTCATCTTGTCAAGAAACCTATTCAGTCGAAGAGATCCATTCCCTCCTGAAGAAGGCTGTGCCTGATCCATCTGCCATGGCCACAGACTCCCAGAATGCACTGGGAGTGAATTCTGGAAGCTTCCTAGCTCTAACGCAAGAGTAAAAGTATTTTATTTTCAAGGCATACCAGCAACAAAAACTAGTGTAATCCCTCAGAGATGTGTAGATGTGAGTATAGCATATTTTTTACATTGGTTTTCTCCCTTCTTCAAAGCTTGAAAACCTAATTTGAACCCAGAGAGTATTTAACAGCAAGAAAGGAGAGAGGAAGCCCAAGGGATAAAATGTCTGCTATAATTTGACAGAAAGAGAACAAAGAAGTTTAATAAGGAGTAAACTCTAAAATATATGAAGAGGGAAAAAAAAGCAAAAGGTGGAATCATGTATAAAGTATATGACTGTGTATTTAAAAAAATAAAAATAATGCTTGCATGGGCATTTACTCTATCTGAAAGGACACACAAAACACTGTTTGCAACTGTTGCCTCTGGAGAAAGGAACTGGAAGCCTAAAATCAAGAATGGGAGCAACCCTCACTTTTCATGGTCAACTTTTTAAAATTTTTGTACCATCTGCTTACATCACCTACTAAAAAGGGAAAACAAAACAAAGAGAGCACACTGTCTTTTGTGCCTGCCAAGAACAACAGCTCTCTCCGCAGGATGCTTTTTGGCTGATGAGAGTTGTGGGGAGGAATTTGTTTTAATGCCCTGGGGTGTGGAATCCCTGCCTCCCACTCCCTGGCATACAAGGAGCCGCAGTCAAGTGGATTCCTCTGGTGACTGCCCACACCAGAAGAGGAATCCCCTATTTCCCGCAGAAGTCCAAGCATAAGCCTAATACAGCTGAAACCAACAGGCCAGGAAGGGAGAGATTTTCCCAGCCCTGCCAATTCGTAATCCCCAACGGTGAATAAATGCCCCACTGCTCTCTAAGCCAGCAAGTCAGTCCCAGCATGAACCTGATTAAATTTAGAGAGTGCAGGGCTCAGCCAGCAGCAAACTGAGTTCTAATGTCAGCCAGGCAGGGATGGTGTCATCATGGGCAACTTTCACAACTTCTCTAGACCTCAGTTTTCTCATCTTTAAAATTACTATAATAGAAGATGAATTAATTAATCAAAAGATCCCTTTCAGCACTAACCATCCATGATCCAGGTTTCTGAAGTTGCAACCCTAAGTCAACTTTCATAGAAGGGGAAAAGACAGTTTCCTTATCCCCAAACTTACATCAAGCCATCGGATCTGAAAGCCCTCATGATTGGATTATTTGAGTGGCTATGCAAAAATCTCCACATGGTTTCTGCGGTTCAAAGAAATCTGCCACGGTTTTGAAGTGCCCTGATGATGTAAGGGTAGCAGTGTCCCAGAGGACATTCTCTGAGACCAAGAGGCTGAGAGGCAGCAAGGAAAGTTCACATGACTTCCTCTCGGTTAGAGCTACTGGAACTCCAGACTGAGGCTTTCTGTTCCTTGTCCTGATGGTTACTCAGTGTTAGTAATAGACATATTCTCAGAAGTCTCTAGCATCAGTACCATTAAGTTTAGACAATGTTGTGAAATAAAATAAATGGTCCTTCCTCTTGCTCCCTGTCCTGCCTTAACTCTTCCCCTCACCCTCCTGAATAATTCATGCTGACAACCCCGCTGCCAAGAAATACCCCCACAGGACCCCATTCAAAGTTCTCTTATGGCTCAGCTCCAACCTCCTGGTCAAATTTTATTTCCACACATATTCTTTCTGTGCCTTATGTTCTAGCCAACCATTTTCTCTCTAATCTTTTTGCCCTTGAATAGAGAGTGGTAAGATGAGAGAGAGCATAGCCTTGAAGGTCAGATTCAGTTCAAATTGTGACTTCTCTAGTTTTGCAAATTTGGAAACATTATATAGCATTTCTGAGCTTCAGCTCTCATGCCTGTGAAAATAAGGCATATTGTTATTGGAATATTCCTAGGAGATGACTGTGAAGGATAAATAAGATAGCATATGTGAAAGCACCCAGCAGTTTGCCAGGTGCATGGTAAGCTTTAGAAAATACTTGCTTGCTTTGTTCTATCCAACAAGAATATCCCTCCATCTCTGGCAACTCTGTCATTCCTGTTTTCTTGGCTTCAGTTATGACAGCCCTCACACCCAGAAGGGAAGGAAGCCTGAACTCAGTTCTCCCTTTGTGCTCTTGTGATGAGGTCATGGTGAGACTATCACCCTGCCAATCTGCTGTGTGTGCCAGCTTCTCTCTCCTCTGAGCTTGACACTGAAGTGGACACAAGAATGGGATGTTAATAACATCTACCTAAGAGTTCCTCCTCACTCCAAATTTGAATTGCCGGGGGGAGGGGAGGTCTACTTGGTAGTATGATGGAAATCATATGGGAATAGAGGGGTGGAGTTGAAATCTTCCCTTTCTTGGCCTCAATTTCCTTATCTATAAAATACAAGTTCAACTAGAACAGTGGTCAGCAAACTCATTAGTCAACAGAGCCAAATATCAACAGTACAACGATTGAAATTTCTTTTGAGAGCCAAATTTTTTAAACTTAAACTTCTTCTACCGCCACTTCTTCAAAATAGACTCGCCGGGGCTGTAGTATTTTGTGGAAGAGGCACACTTAAGGGGCCAAAAAGCCCCATGTGGTTCCAGTATATAGCAGTTTGCCGACTACAGAACTAGAAGATGACTTCTTGTGCACTCATGCTTCTGAGATTGTCTCATTCAAACAGCAGGGCTGTACTTTGATTGTGGTGTGTAGACTGTACTACACAGACAACCATGTAGAGTTGGCTACGGGTATCTTCTCTGGAGAACTTCCGTCAGTGTAAACTAACAGGAGTTTGGGAACGGTGTAGAGTCTTCAGACTTTTCCAGATTGAAGCAGCTTTATTGTGTAGCTTGTCCTTAGATGGAACTCCTCTGGCAACTTTGATATTTTCCATTTTATTAGTATCTGGAGAAGATCTGAGGATTTTTCATATATACATATTTTTTTAATGTTTGTGCATGAGTAAAAAAAAAAAAATCTTCTGATATCTAACCTAATGAAAGTATTTGTTGAGGGTCTAAGATTAATTTGAAGTATTTTCATCATCTGAGCAAGATTAAAATATTGGGTTTTAGATAGTTGTCAAAATATTCAGATGTATTTCAAAATTCTCCAGAAGTTCTCCAGAGAAGATTTCCTCAGCCAAAGCTACTTAGTTGTCTGTGTAGTACAATTTGGCTTAACCTTTAGCCAGGCTCTGAAGAGGTGCAATTGACCTGACCATGGGCAGCGGCCCATGGACAAGTACAAAGTAGACAGGTGCTGCAAGAAGAGGCAGAAGTAGGTTCTTTTCTGGCCTCTCATAGTACCTTGAGCACTGAACTGTTGGAAAACAAAACTGGCAAATGTCTGATGTCCAGCCTTTACCCAGCAGCCTGTGCCATGTTCCCAAGAGCTCATCTTTGAAGAGAGTTTCTAATTCTAACTTACTGGGATGTTAGAATAGTTGGCAAATCTTTTACTCACTTGGCATTTGTGTTGGAGGAGGGTATCTTAGACAGGAAGGAATAAGCCTCAGGAAGGTATGAAACCAGAGCTCTACCTTCACTCTGTGGGCCTTGCCTTTTCTCATTTGATACCCAGCCACAATGTCAAGATGTTAGGTGGGAGAGGGGTTAGTGTGGGAATCAGTGGAGCATGGTGGGGAAACAGATCTGTGATGGGGATGCCCCAGTTCACTATGCCACCACCAATGGGGTGTGAACATCTCCTCCACATGCCTTGGGCTTCATGTCAGAGGAGACCTGAGAGATCATGAAAGCACATCCTCACCACCTCTCAGAGTGCATCTCAAGGAGCCTCGCAGGAGAAGATGGAATTTTCCATACTGAGCATACAGTAGGGTGGGAAGCTAGACTCTCATCCTGAGTCATTCGGTGGTACTCAGCAGAAACAGCCTCCTTACCAAGGGTAAGGCCTTACCTTCCGATCAGGGAAGTTCATGCAATGAGAGGACTAGGAAGAATGGGCAAAACTGGTTGCCCATATTTAGAAAAACCTTATCCTGAAAGTTACATTTCTTAGAGATGAAGATGTGTGGCTCTGAAAATCTTGTTGAATAAAGAGTCTATTGGGATCTAATAACACAAAGAACAGCCATTTTAATTGTTATCCCAAACTTTCTTTTTCACCATGGCTGTCAGCACCTTTCTGCTATAAGCTCTCTTAATTTTCATTCTCTTCTCTACTATGCAATCCATGTGATATCCTAACATAACCCCCTCTCTAAACACTTCCCTTTTTCTTGTCTAAATTACTTAGTAATGGCTACCCACCTGTCCTTTCTGTCTCAGAGAACAATTATGGTTTTGTTGTCCCAGAAGCTTAGCAATTAATAGATTCCTAAGAGGGATCTCAAGAATGAACCAAAAGCATCCATGTGACACGAACATGCCTTAAAATTATGTGATCGACGAAATGCAACCAACTTTTGCTACCCTCAAGGGGAAGATTTTCTCATATCTGGGTTTCCCTTTCCACATGAATTGGGGAAGTCCTCCAAGTATACCGACAGAGACGTCAGCCAAAACATTTCTAAGAACTCTCTTCTTCACCTTGGTGATTGGGTGAGTCTGCAGCATAACATTCT